TGTTAAAAAAAAAGAAAGTTAGTGGCAACCTTGCTTCAAGCAAGTCTATTAATGCCATTTTTCCAACATTATTTGCTCACTTTGTATCTCTGTATCACATTTTGGTGATTCCTATAATATTTCAAACCCACCATCAGCAAAAATATTAAAACTCACTGAAGACTCAGATGATGGTTGGCATTTTTTAGCAACAAAGTATTTTTTAATTAAGATTTGTAGTTTTTTTTAGACATAATGCTTCTGCACACATAATAGACTACAGTATAGTGTAAACATAACTTTTATATGTACTAAGAAACCGAAAAAAATTGTGTGACTTGCTTCATTGCAATAGTCACTTTATCGTGGAGGTCTGGAATCGAACCCACAATATCTCCAAGGTATGCCTCAACTTATCTGGTCGCTGCCCAGTTTCTCAGATATTTATAAGACGCATCTGCACTAGAGAAGCCTGCTTCTGGCTGCTGTTAGAGGTCATCATCATTGCTGTGTATGTGCTCATGTCAAGCTAAAGACATTTCACAGCACAATCTTCAAGACCCACAACTTTTAAAGATAACTATAAAGTCAGTTTTTCCTTTCCAATTATTCCCTACTCATAGGGGGTCTTTTTTACTCAATTTGAATTCTGCTGACAGCTCTAAGCAGTGGTCAATCCAAGCTGCAATTGTTCTTTTTCTTCTACCATTTGAATCATCTGTCCTTCATCCTCCACCTTTCTAGGAACAACTTTCATACCCCAGAGAATTATACAGGAGACCAAGCCAAGGTTATAGTGAAAGAATTCCATCAAAAGGTTGCTCTCAATGGAAGAAAGAAAAGTTCTCCTTTATTGTCCGTCAAATCTATCATGGTACCCTTTCCATCAGCATTTCAGTTCCCAATTTTGTTTTCAGCAAAGCCTATCCTGATACAATTTGTGCCCATTTCTAACTGGATATGAATAAACTAGGTACATATTGTAATATTAGACCAAATCTTCTTCAAACTATTTCTTCAAAAATATGAGACCAACTCTTCTTCAAACTAGAAGTACTTCCCTTTGTTTTTATATTTGCCATATGGAAAGAAAAGAATTGTCCCCTTTTTACTTGAAATAGAGGAGTTTCAGAACACTTCCTACACCAGAAATATAATGCACAGTAACAGAAGTAGGTCCCAACTTGCAGTGGCCCCAGACACTCAACCCTTTCTTACAAGTTATGGCACAGCCATCAGTAAGCCTGACATCAGATCTCAGAATGCAACCAAGAAAGTGAAGTTCAGAAGCTCTGACTGTAAGATATGTTAAGACAGACTTCTACTGTTAGTGACCCTAAAAACCCACAACAATGTCTTTGTTTAAGCCTAATGTATAGTTTTACCAGACCTGGGATCCTAACATTAAACCATCCTTGAATACTTCCTCATTTATCATCCTAAGCATCTCACACAATTATTCTTCCAGTTGGAAACTCGGGCAGTGATTGGAGAAGTCTATCATTGGCATAATGCTGGATAACAAAAATTATAGGTCAGCTTTAACCTTTTTGCAACTTTAGCTGAGATGACAAAGAGTCAGTATAGGTGCTATCACTGATATGATAGACTGGGTGGTGTACACACAACAGAAATTTATTTCTCACTGTTCTGGAAACTGGGTAGTCCAAGATTAAGGTGCCAACAGGTTCTGTGCCTTGTAAGAGCCACTTGTTGACTCATAGATAGTCATCTTGCTATGTCCTCACATGGCAGAAGAGGTAAGGGAGCTCTCTGGGGTCTCTTTTATAAGGGCACTGATCCCATTCATGAGGTATCTACCTTTGTAACCTAGTGAGATCCTGAAGGCCACACCTCCAAATACCACTAGGGATTAGGTTTCAACTATAAATTTGGAGGGGAAGGGCATATTCAGTCTATAACAATATTTATAAATACTTTTTTAATTATATAGATAAATCATGACTGCATATTAAAACATTTAAATATTTCAGATAAGATCAAAATTCTCCTTTGAGTAACACTCTCCCATCACTCCCCGGGGAAAACCCCTATTCTTGCAGCTTCCACTGTCATCCTCTTGTAACCCTGCCACTTCAATGTTATGAAGAAGCCCAAACCAATTTACCAGAAGGTGAGAGATCATGTGGAGGAGAACTGAGGCATCTCAGCCAACATCCCACACCCACTGCCACACATCAGAGTGAAGACGACTTGGACCCTTCAACCCCAGTAGAACCTTCAGAAAATTGCATATTGAATGATCCCAGGTGAAATCAGGATAAGAACCTCCGAGATTTTCAACCTATAGGTAATGAGAAATAATAAACCATTGCTTTAAGACATCAGATTTCAGACTGGTTTGTTACACAGCAACAGATAATTGAAATATATACTTTGACCATTTTTCTGTTAGGTTAGTTCTTTCTCCTTTTTAGAATGTTGTTTTAACTTTTTATTCTGAAATAGACTCCTTTTTAAGTTTCACAAATATTTTCTTCTAGTCCATCATGGAAAAACAGAACCAGTAGGAAATATCTATTAACAGAGTTATTGCAGGGAATTGGTTTATGCAGTTGTAGACGCTGGCTAGGTAGGCTCAGAATTCATAGGGAAGGCCTCTTCAAATTGAACTGAAGCTGCAGTTCATGGGGCAAAATTTCCTCTCCTTCAAGGAAACCTCAAATCTGCTCTTAGGGCTTTCAACAGATTAAATCAGGCCCACCTACATAATCGAAAATAGTCTCCTTTGCTTAAAGTCAAGTAATAATGGAATTTAATAGCATCTTCAAAATATCTTCGCAGCAACACTTAGATTAGTATTTGAATAAATAATGGTGACTGTAGCTTACTCAAGCAGACATTTATGTAAAATTAACCATCACATTTAATTGTCTTTAAATTTATATGGTACTTTAATCAAAATTAAGTTTTTTATTCTTATGTAATCAGATGTATTAATGCTCTTTGTGGTTTTTGGTACCACGTTTAAAAACTGCTTCTTGGGTCCAGATCAAGATGATGGAGTAGAAAGACCCTGAGCTCACCTCCTCCCACAGGCACACCAAGACTACAGCAACTTAAAGAGCAACTATCTCTGAGAACAACTTGAAAACTAGCAGAAAAGATTTTCCACAACTAAAAATATAAAAAAGGAGCCACAACAAAATGTGTAGGAAGGGTGGACTCACATCCCCAGCACAGTGACCCCCAAACAGGAGGAAAACCACAACCACAGAGCTCTTCCCCAAGGAACAAGGAATCTAGCCATCACATTAGGCTCCCCAGCCCAGGGGTCCTGCACGAGAAAGACAAGTCCTCAAAATGTCTGCCTTGCAGAACCAGCAGGGCTTACATTCAGGAGAGCCAAGAGCTGTAGGAAATCTAGACTCTATTCTTAAAGGGTGCATGCAAAAATTCACTTGCTCCAAGACACAGTGCAGAGGCTGCAGTTCGAAAATTTCCAAGGTCAGTCCCAATTTCTGATCTTGGAGAACCTCTTAGAGAGTCAGAAGGCAGCTGGAACTTTCCACAGGGATTGAGATACTGGTGACAGCCATATTTGTGATATCATTCTACCATGATGACGCCAGCACTGGCAGGCACCATTTTGGAATCCTCCATCTAGCCTATTAGTGCTAGGGGCTTGCCCCATGCACCAGTACATCTGTAGGAATCAAACATTCCAGTCCTCACAGCCAGCCATGCCAGGGTCCTGCCTGGCCGACCACTGCACTCACAGTGATCAGGTGTCACCAGATGTCACTGCCAGATGAGCAAGGGATCTGCTCCATCCATCAGCATGCCCACAGAGGTCACACTCCACCAGGCTGCCCAGTCAGCCACACTGAGGGCCTGCCATACCCACTAACACAGCCACAGTGGTTGCACACCACTGGAACTCACAGCCAGCCATGCTGGGGGCCTGTGAACCTCAGGGTGCCCACAGTTGTTGCATTACCCCCAATCCACAAAGCCAGCCATGCCAGGGGCCTGCCCTGAACACCAGGGTGCCCACACCAATTATGCATCTCCAAGTTCACAGCCAGCCACACTGGGGTCTACTGTGCCCACTAGCACACCCACAACATTGCATGCTCTGGACCACACAGCCAGCCAGGCAGGGAGCCAGCCCCACATACCAGTGTACCTACAGTGTTGGCTCCATTGCAACAGAAAGCCATGTGCACCCCATGCAGGGAACTCACTGGTTCTCTTTATTATTATTATTATTATTTAAATTTTTTAATTTGGTATCATTTTAGACTTATAGGATAATTGCAAAAATCATACAGAGAATCCCTATCTAGGCTTTATCAAGCTTCTCCTAATGTTAACATCTTATAGATCAGTTATCAAAACCAGGAAATTAACATTGGTACAATATTGTTAGCTAAACTTCAGACTTTAACTGGATTTCCCTAGTTTTTCTAGTAAAATTTTCTCTCTGTATCAGTATCAATCCAGAAGCCCACATTTTATTTAGTTGTCATAAATCCTTAAGTCTTCTCCAAACTGTGATCATTCCTCTATCTTGATATCTTCTGTGACCTTGATATACCTGAAGAGTACCAGTTAGGTATTTTGTAGAATTTTCCTCAGTTTGGATTTTTCTGCTGTTTTCTCAATGAGTACATTGAGGTTATGAATTTTTAAGAAGAATTCCACAGAGGTGATATATCTTCAGCACATGACAAATGTTAATCTTGATCACCTGATTAAGGTGGTGTCTGCCAAGGTTCTCCACTGAATAGTGTTTCTCCCCATGTAACACATATTTAAATGGGTCATTCTTTGATGTTACACAAAAATCCTGTTTAACCTTAAACTTTCCACCACTAATTTTGGCATCATCAGTGGATCTTGCCTGCAGCAATTATTATTGTGGTGTTCTAATGGTGATTTTCTGCCTCTCTTGTTTCAGGGAACTCATTCTCGTGACCTAAGGGGAGCACGCTGCTGGGCCCCACAGGACTTCTACATAAGGCCACTTCTCCAAGATCAGGAGACATAATGGATCTCCGCCTAATACAAAGAAATAAACACAGAGAATTAGGCAAACTAAGGAGATAGAGGAATATGTACCAAATGAAAGAACAAGACAGAATCCCAGAAAAATAACCAAATGAAACAGAGACAAGCAATCTACCTGATAAAGAGTTCAAGGTAATGATCACAAAGAGGCTCACAGAGCTCAGGAGAAAAATGGCTGAACACAGTGAGAACTTCAACAAAAGTTATAAAATATAGAAAGAACCTATCGGAGCTGAGCAGTACAATCACTGAAATAGAAATTACACTAAAGGGAATAAACAGTAGATGAGATGATAAAGAAGAATGGATCAGCCATCTGGAAGGTAGAGTAGTAGAAATAACCCAAGAAGAAGAAAAAAATTAAAAAGAATTAAGATAGTTGAGGACAGTTTAAGGGACCTCTTGGACAACATCAGGCATAGTCACATTCACATTATAGGAGTCCAAGAAGGAGAAGAGAGAGAGAAAGGGGCAGAGAACATATTTGAAGAAATAATACTAAAAATTCTCTAATCTGAGCAAGGAAACAGACATCTAGGTCCAGAAAGCATAGAAAATATCAAACAAGATGAGCCAAAATAGGTCCAAACCAAGACACACTGTAATTAAAGTGGCAAAATTTAAACATAAAAGAAAAATCTTAAAAGCAGCAAGATAAAAGCAACTAGTTAAATACAAGGGATCTCTCATAAGACCATGAGCTGACCTTTCAGCAGAAACTCTGCAGGGCAGAAGACAGTAGCCTGATATATTTAGAATGCTGAAAGGAAAAAACCTACAACCGAGAAAGAATATTCTACCCGGCACGGTTATCATTCAGAACCAAAAGAGAGAGAGAGTTTTACAAGCAAATAAAAGCTTGATGAATTACCATTAAACTGTTTATATCAAGATCTGAATAGATACTTTCTAAAGAAGACATATGGATGGCCAACAGGCACGTGAAAAGATGCTCAACATCCCTAATCAGATGCAAACCAAAACCATAATGAGATATCACCTCACACTTGTCAGAACGGCTATTATCAGAAAGATCACAAATAGCAAATGTTGGCAAGGATGTAGAGAAAAGGGAACCCTTGTACAAAGTTACGGGAATATAAATTGCCACATCAACTTGGAAAAAAATATGGAGGTTCCTCAAAAAACTAAAAGTAGAACTACTACATGATCCAGGAATTCTACCACTGCATATATATCTAATGAAAATAAAAATATCAATTCAAAAAGATACATGCACCCCAATGTTCACAGCAGCATTATTTACAATTGCCAAGATATGGAAGCAACCTAAGTGTCCATCCACAAATGAGTGGAGAAAGAAGATGTGGCCATGGATGCCCTTTTCTCATCCAAGTGGAAGTTTGTTGCCTTATTAAAATGGCCCACAAGAGAGAAACTTACTAGATACAAACATCCAGCGAGTCTTGTAATCTCTGACAGTGTGCTGTTTTACAGCAGGAATGAAGAGCATCTATTATTACAATGAGTTACTTAATCAGAGATGATTTAAGAGTTTCTACTCAGCTCACAACAGATAATCCAATTTCCCTCAATAACAACAAGATATGTATTATTTTTAATTTTTTGTATGTATGAGACAAATTCAAAAAGTATATAAAACATAAATATAAGAGCTTTACAAAGTGACACACACATAACCTCCACCCACGTCAAAAAATGAAACATTAACAGAATCTCTGAGGCCTCCGTAACATTCCCTCCCAATTACTATGAACCTCTGTGCCCCCAGATCAACCTCTACACTCTGTTCTGGCATTGTAAGTGTGCCTGTTGACAAACCTTAAGTAAATGGAATCTTAAACTTTTATTTTGTCTCACCTCTTTCCCCTGATACTATGTTTATGACATTAATACACTGTAACTTTTCATAGTAGATCATTAATTTTCTCCACTGTATCGTATTTTTATATAAATATAACTGAATTTACATGTCCATTCATTATTGCTAGAAATTCGGTTGTTTCTAGTTTTTTGGCTATTATGAATAATACTGAGATAAATATTTCTGTACCATATTTTGATGAAGATAGGTATGAGCTGCAGTTGGATTTTTGTCCCAGAGTGAAATCCCTGGGTTATTCACCGGGTTTGCTCAGCTTCGGTGGGTAGTACTAAACTACAGGACTCCTTACGTAACTTTCTGGGCCCAGTGATATGTGACAATCCAGAGCCCCTCAGTCAAAAATTATTAAGACTTTCAAGACAGAAAGAGAAGAATATTAAAACAAGTGTGGGGCCCTTCTAAGCACAGGGTCCTCCGTGACTGCACAGGTCACTCATGCATGAGGCTGATCCTGCCAAACTCTTTCCCAAAGTGGCTGCACCAATTTTTTCACTCTGGAGTTTTTTCACATCATTTGGATTAATGGAATTGTGAGTCTTGTAATGGGGTTGAGCGTTTTATGATTATAAGAGCTAGCCCCAGAATTCTACCCTAGGAAAAAACATTTGGGGAAACACCTTATTTGATAAAGCTCACAGAGTAAAAGGAGAGATTTGGAAGGAAAAACCAAGGCAACCAAAATGAACACTGGATTTTATTCATGAGACAATATGAGGAATGTATTTCCTTCTGAACAGAGTAGGAAAAATGAGAGGCAAGAAGCAGAAAAGGGAAAGAAGAAAGAGAAGATTATGACTCGGGGGTGAAAAATGCCCACTGGCAGACTTTTATTAATAAGAGTTTGTAACATTCAATTTTAATTTGCCTGCATTTCTAAATTGTAAGCATTTCTCCCTGTTTCCCACCAAAAAAATTTCAGGATTGTGTGAGGATAGTTTCTTTGTAGATACTGATATGGAGCCAAGTGCCATAATTAAACAACACTCTGTGGAACCAAAAGATGTGGTGTGTTAGACACCACGGAAAGAGAAGTCCAGCAGAAACAGTAAGCTGGAATCAGAGGTGCTCACACGTCCACCCACATGCCCTTGGATCTTTCTGGAAGAGCTGACACCTTCACAAAGCATAAAATGTGGGTTCCAGCTGGTTTTATTTAAAAGCAGAGTCCACAAGCACTATATGTTAAGTAGTAGCCATTTCCACATCAACTGATAGCTGCCATGCACAGTGCACTGGTTCTCTTCTAAATAGATGTAACCTGACAGGAAAACAGAACTTGGCTTTCTAGTCAAAACAGAACAGCAATCATCTTTAATACTCAAGGGTTCCATTATATCAGTAGACACTGGGACAGCCCGTAGAAGTGGCAGCATTTCTGCAAAAACATGGTGAAACCCGTGGAGAGAGTATGGTGACTAGCGGGATGAGATGGTGTCAACAATAAGTATCATTTTCATCAGTGGGGACTGAAGCAGGATGAGGAGAAATGGTTCATTCCATGTAATGATTAACCGAAGTTGATGAAAAGCAACCCAGTAATAAGTATATGTGGACTGGGGGTGGGATGGGCTGGGAGAGAGGAGGGATTTTTTCAGAGAGCTAGGTTCCTCAATAGCCAGTTAGAGCAAAAGCCCCTAGAATTCTAGGAGCTTGAAAAGCTTCAAGTCACTTGGCTTCTGGTGCTGTCAGCTGGTGCTGCCCAGCTGGAGTTTTGACCTCTGTAAGCACATCAAGGACACTTTCCTTATTTCATTTATCTTGGTATCCTTGGGCTTTAGCACAGCATCCAGAATATATGAGGCATTTAAAAATGATCATTAATTAGCTTACATATGAATTAAGTGAGGTGACAAATTTTTATTTTAAAAAAAATGCAGGAAATTCTTTCCACCAGTGAAAGTTACCTGAGAAGTTTATCAAAATGAAAAAGTGAGAAAGTAGAAAGGTTACCCAAAAACCAAAATTATTCTTTATAAAAAACTAACTGTAAAAAAAGAAATCTAAGCCCCAGTGGTTAAAGGAGCTGAATTTCAAACTAATGTGAAGATTATCAGAACCACGGGAAAATAAAAATGTGTCCATGGGGAGATACTGTATTTTTCTTAAAAAAAAAAATGAGAAGGGATTAAACGGAATTCTAGTATGACCTCGGACAAATAATTTAACCCATAAACCACAAATCTGATCAGCCTCTCTGTGAGCTTTTTCTGCCCGTGCCCAGGACACTGAACACCCCTGAGAGGACAGAGAGCTCTCAGACTTGTCCCATTACAAATTCCTGTGGTCTAACTTCAAATGAGCCCTCTGTATTCAGCAATCTCCTAACCACAACCAGGTTTCTCCTTTCAGTGGCTAGTTCAAAAACTCTTTTCTCTGCTCTCTCCCTATTTCTCCCTCAGCTGATAACCTGTCCAATTTTAATGGAAAATTAAGACACTATGACTATCAAGTTTTGGTCTTATGTTAACCCCTGTCATCATTTTAGTGCCTACTATCTCTCTGTCAACGCTTCCTCCCCAAAATTATAATGGAAGATGTTTCCCTTTCACTCTCCAAAGATTATTCCTGTACGTTCTCAGTCACACCCCTTCCTAATTTCTGTGGACCTTGAATCTCATACTTAACCATCTCCCCAGCATCTTTTCCACACTGCTGGATTTCTACACTTTCTATGATTCCAAAGATGCAAATGTATAGCCTAACTTTAAAACAAAACATAATAAAACAAAAACCTTCTACTGACTTCTGTTGAAGTAGTTCACCTTCTCAGTATTATGAAAGTCCTCTGAACCACCAAATTTTTCAAAGTGATCTCTGCTTGATAACATTTTTCCTTTACTCCACCTTGTAATATCTTTAACTCCTTGAAAAGGATTTAAGGGTTTATGTCCTAACTTTCAAATCACCTTCCACCCTTACTTCATCCTTTTTAATAATGATTTATTCTCCCAAACCAAAATGATTAAGGCCATCCTGCTAGGTTCGCCTAAATCTTTGCACCTCACAATCCATCAGTCACCAAGTCTTGCAATTCTTCCTTGACACTGACTTCTAGATGGGTCTCTTGTTCTTCATTGCCTAAATCCTTAACCATTTATGCTTGGGATGCTGAAATTGCCTACTAGCTACTTATATAAGCTAAGAAATGCTGTGTCAATAAATGATCCCAGAATCTCAATGACTAACAGTAAGAGAGTTTATTTCAACTTTGAAATATGGGTCCTTGGGGGACTCCATCTCACGCTTCTTCACCCTGAGAGTCAAGGTGATGAAGAAGCCCTTGTCTAAAAAATTGCCAGTCTCACAGTAAAAAGAAAAGACAACACGGCAAACCACAGTGCAGCTCCCGAAGCTTCTGCTTGGAAGGGGCACTCATCACTTTTCACTGTTTCCCAATAGCACATCCCCTCTGTCCTCATGCTCTCCTCCCCATCCCCCACCCCCACCCCCACCAGCACTCCCTCTGCAAAACCTACATGTTCTTCAACACTCTCAGACAATAGTTCCTTGTATACATCAAGGCACTCCAGATCCCTCTCCAGTAATTCCTCCCTAATTATTGTCTGTGCTGCCCTCCTTAGAGTTTTCGTATATCAGATTACAATGCTAGTATATATGTGGCCAATTTGCACAATAATTGCATCTATATCTCTAACTTCTCCAACTATATTGTATGTATTTTGTGATCAAGAACAATTCTTTATAATTGTCATTTACATTCTTGATTTTTGCTTATTTCCAAACAATCAGGAATGTCTCTGATATAAAACAATTTGTAATTTCTCTAAGGCACACCATGAGATAGTCATGCTCCTAACTAGAGTGAGCTTGGTGGGGCGTATAGAGGAAATACAGAGTAATGAATGGTAAATGTGGTTATGAATGCTGGTTCTAGAAATAGCCTACCCAGGTTCAAATCCATGGCTCCATCACTTACAAACTGGGTGACCGTTCTCAAGTTACTTAAACATTTTTTTTTGCCACATTATCTCTTATTTGAAGAGTATATTAATATGATTATATCGCATGGTTGCTTTAATGAAAAAATAAATACATAAAAAGTGATTACAAAACTGACTGGTACACATTAAGCCCTCAATAAAGATTAGGCATTGTTGCTGCTACTATTAGGGGGAAGTCTACAATCTCAAAAGAGCTTTGTTATTTTCTACTCTCATGACCATCAAGAATAAAGTATATGAGGAAACACATTCTCCAGTGGTACTTGCAAATCTGGTGTTAGGAAATATTGCTAAAATATTCCAAATACTTACATTTCTTATGTTCCCTATAGCACTGAGGGCTGTCCTGGATCCATTCAAGATGTTCAATAACTATTTGTTGGTTGGCATGATCTCTCATCTCTCAGCTTCCAAATCTTAAAAACAGGAATAATATCTAAATTACATATTTAAATTACCAAGTTATTTTAAATATATAATCTTGAATTTGTTTTAGAAAACAAAATAAAACAAAATATGCACATATAAATTTATTCTGATAATAATGAAAGTGGGAAATAGGATATTTGGGGTGACAGGAGAAAACAAAAAAGATTAAATAAATGTTGCTATTCAGCATTAGAGGAGGTAGAGATCATACGGGGATATTTATGGAGAAAATGTTACAACAAAGTTAAAAGTGGCCAAATAACACAACATTCTTGCTTTGAAGTCAGAAAAGCAAAAAGTGACAGACTTTGAGACATTTTAAGAAAAAAAAATCAAATTCTTGCAATGACTTGAATATAAAGGGAGAAAAGGAAAAAAAGGATCATGGTTGACAAAATGCCCAAGTTTAAAACATGTATGAAATCTCTACTGACAATCTGGAA